TGGTGGTCTGGTGCCCTCTGCGTCTTTGTAGTGTGGAACCAGGTGGCTGCCTGTCTGCAGCGGGGTGATTCGGTGTCTTCTGCGTGACTCAGGACCTCGGTAGGGCATGGGCAGACCTGCCTGTCTGCAGGGGGCTGGTTCGGCATCTTCTGCGCGACTCTACATGGCTTTTTTTTCCAAGAAAATTGTTTACAAGAGCTGCTTTGCACCTTTGGCGGCAAGTGTGAGGCTCAGGGCTTTCCACTTTGCAGAGGTGAGATAGGGAAGAAGTCAGCTGTTGATCTTTTTGAAGTGTGCTTGTAATTGATAGGTTGATTCACTTGCTGCTTTCAAGATTTTCTTTTTGTCCTAGGCTAGGAACAGTTTCATAATGGTGTGTCTAGGTATGAATTTCTATAAGTTTATCCTATGTGGATTTTAGAGCTTTTGGGATGTATAGATTAATGGTTTTTCATCAACTTTGGAGAGTTTTTCACCATTATCTCTTCAAATGTTTTTACTGTCCCTTTTCTCCTTTCAGATCTCCCATTATACCTATCTTGGTATACTTATAGCACAGTTCTCTGAGAATGTGTTCCTTTTTCTGTATTCTCATTATTGGCTCTTTCTCAGACTAGATAATCTCAACTGGCATAATTGTCACATCCCTGTTAACCCTCTTGTGAATTTTTTATTTGAGTTATTTCACTTGTCGCCTTTAGAATTCTATTTGGTCATATATGATTTCTCTTTATTTGGGGAGACATCAGCCTCATACTTCGCTTTGCACATGATTTCTTCTAGTTATTTGGAAATCATAGTTGGAGGCTAGTACATAGATTTTTTGTTCATATACAGAGAAACATACAACAAATATAAACAACTATGTACCACCCTCCGACTGTCATGTCTTTTCTCCCCCTCACATTGTGATCAGATTTCTTAACAACTTTCTCCCCAACCATAGTATTATTCCTTTTGTGTAGATTCTCATTACCTACTTTACTTCTACCCCACACTGTAATTTGTTCTAGATATTTACTGAACTTATCTTCTAGAAGTCTGAGACTAACAAGAAACATAAAGTATACTTTCAGGAATGAAAGTCCAGTTAAAACGTGAAGCAGGGTAGGTAGTGACTAATAAATCAGGCGCAATATAGAATGGCCAGGAATGATATTTACACAAGTGGGTTGTAGCAGAGACTTTAATGTCAGTGAGTTAGCTCAGCGAAGGCCATGCAGAAGATCTTTGAGGCAGAAGGAGCATCAAGTATAAATGCTCCGAGGTAGAAGCAAGTTCGATGTAATCAGAGCCCAACAATGTGACTAAAGAGCCATGATTAGTAATGATTAGACCTCAGGCTGGACAGGAGGCCAGAGAAGTGGACAGGAGCATGATTGTGTGGGATTCTTAGGCTATGGTAAGGAGCTTGGGATACATCTGAATTTATTAGGAAGCTACTGGCAAATTTTAGGTAGGGAAGTGTGATATGTTATACCTTCTCATTTAGTGAAAACTAGTCCATCCAGAAACACCCAAATAGTGGATTTCATAATAAATAGATATATATGTATGCATTTAGATTAGCCAAGAGAATAAATTATTTAAAACACACATTTTTGCAAAGAAAGGGTTTTTTAATATTTTCAGCTGGCAGAAACTATGATAGCTCATCTATTGAAATTTTTGTTTGTGGCTCCTGATTTCAGTGCATTGACAGTAGTAATCATGGTCATATTAAGGCAGATATTGGGACTAACATGTCAGAAATGTTGCTTCTGATTTGTTTGCTGTTTTGTATTTACCCTATGTGTAAGGTACTACTTTATATTTTAGCCTCTGTGTTAAGATACTTTTGACCTACTTGTATGAAGATGCTTGCCCTAATTTATCATCAGATGTGTGTAGTTGTCCGGCAGTGAGCATGGGTTTTTGCTAATCCACTAGCAGTCTTTCTCTTGGTTGCCATAGTAGATGGTGGCACACAGTGAAATGACTGGTCATGGATGGCATGTGGCCAGGGAACAGTGCCTGCCCACGGAGGGTAAACCAGTGACTCTGGAGTCATGAGCATAAAGTGGTCCCAAACCCATGGAGCTACACATGAATGCTTTGAATACCAACATCTCATATACTTTCTGTCATTATGTGTCATTTGGTAGTGATATCACATTACGGTGAGAGTTTTTAAGCTTTTGAAAAGTTTACATGTGATTCTAAACCTGTGTAATATTATTGGTAAAGATTTTAGATCTTTGCATTTTGGAAAATTAAAAGTATTAGGTCTTCTGTGAGCTCTGCCATTGACTAAGGCTTGACTTTAGCTATCACACTCATATGTCTGGGACTCAGTTTCTCCCGTCTGTCAAACACTTTCCTCCCACTGAGACACAATACCCAACACTCACAACTTAAAGGCAGAGAGGTTTGTTTTGGCTTATGGCTTTTAGAGAATTCAGTCCATAGTCAGCTGGTTCCAAGGCAGGAAAGGCATGGTGGAAGGGTTTGGTGAAAGAAGCTAATCCCAGCATGGTGGCCAGGAAGCAGAGAGCAAAGGGAGAAGCCAGGAGGGAAATACAACCTTCGAGGTCATGCCCCAGTGAACCATCTCTTCCTCCCAAGCCCTACTCTTCACAGCACATGCAGCTATGGATTCACAGGTGGATTAATCTACTGATGAGGAAAGTACCCCCTTAATCTAGTCACTTTCTACACACACGAGAATTGGGGGGAACATTTTAGATCTAAATCAAAACATAAGGTGAGTGGACTCATATTAATGTCCCTTCTAGCACTAATATTTGGTGATTGGGTAAGTCTAAGAGTTACCTTGTTGGGATAAATCTGTAGGATAGAAATGATAGTAAGATGAGTAAAAATTAAACAGAAACCCTCTGCCATTTTTAGCCTGATAAAATTTACTGAACTGCGCAAAGAGTTTAACAGGAACTCTTACTTCTGGATGTACACACCATATCATCTTTTTCACCCCTGACATGTATCTCTAATGAGTATGAAAGGGGCAGGTGACAACACAGAAACAGGCACATGAAGATTTATTCTTATAGACGACTAAGGAAGGTGGGATCCAGCTGGATTAAAGCGACGTTTATAAGAACTAGTAAACTACCTCAAAATGGGGCTGTTTTTTGTCTTATTCTAGTGGTAATGGTAGAAAGGTAATCTTTGGCTTTTTGTTTTAGCCTGTTGAAACCATTGTTTAGCTCAGTAATCCCTGATTTATATCCTGTGTAAAAATAAATCTCTACTTATGACTTCTTACCAGAGTACATGTGGATGGGCTTACACCTTGAAGTTTTGAGCACAAGCCGTTCACTGAATTGGTCCTGTAAGCTGCTCTTGTTACTCTTCCACGTACCTTGTACAGCTTGGTCTTCTTGAGCTTGTTCATCCTTGCAACTGCTCATTCATCCGAAAGATCAATGAGAACATACGCTTTTCTTTTCCTGTCACATTTTCGCTTTGCTGCATCTTCAGTAAAAATGCTGTTTTAGTAAATAAGGGATAGTTCCTCTCATTGGCTATATGTCTTTTTCTCACGGTCTTCCCAGTACCACCTAGAGCTGAAGCATAAGTTTTAGTTACACCCTGCTTTCCCAACTTCTTGTCAGAATCTGGAAACTATAAGCAAAAGTTATCTAAAACAGTCATCTTTTTTCCTCTATCTGCTTTAAACAAGATGAATACAATGCTAGTGACTTCATGTATGCATATTCACTATTTTACATTGAAATTTTTAATTTAAATTTTTTTCTCGGGTGTCCAGTTTTACAAAAATGTTATATAAAAATACATCCACAAAACAGACTTGACTGCATTTCAAAAGAATGGCATGCTTTACCGTATTAAGCATTTAAATAAGTCATCCAATAGTAAAGGGGTAAATGTACATTTTTAGCCTTTGATAGGAAGAAATATTTCTCACATATCCTGGATAATTTCTTTGTAGAACTGAAAGACTGTATGGATTTGACTCTTAAAAGAAAGTTTATTAAATATTGTTTTAAGTGGTTCTCATCATATTATTAATGAGTAAAGTAACAGTTCTTTACACAACCTACATTCCTGAAATTCATATATCACTTACATAAGACTGAAAATTTAATAAACATACCCAAGTGTATACTTCCAAATGAATAGCAGTTCCTTAAAAATAGTCACCTAGGAAATTTCAGTTGTTTCAGTGATGCTGTTGTTGCCACAAATGGTTCTTTCTTTTTGGTTCCTTCTTTGAAACTGTCTCAGAGTAACCATACCTAATTGATGAAATTCATGATAATTTTAACTCGTGCATTTATTCATCTGACATATTTATTAAACACCTACTGTATTGTCCACCAGTTGTGTTAATTTCCAAATTGATGAACATGAAAAACAAATAAAAATTGCTGCTGCCTTCATTATGTTCCCAATCTACTGGTTTTTAATTTTTTGGAAAATGCCAAAAATCATTTAAAGCTAAATTAGGTAAAGATGGAGAGTTTTAATGAACACCATTTTAATGAAAAATACATTATGGTATAAAGAGGTGGTAAATGTTAACATTGCTTTTTTTGCTTTGTAAGTCCTTAGGTGTATTTTGAGCCTTATATCCACCAGCTTTTGTTTGGTTAATGTAAACATTCTAAGTTAGGGCCCTAATTTACATTTGAAAAAAGAGGCATATGAGACACAACAAATGTGGCTGTTACGTTGGTCTTTATAGTTTTGTGTATGTATAATTTTCCATAAAATGCAGATTCTTAGCCAGCCCCTGACTGGTTTCCTTTAGTTTTTTTCACTATGTGACTGGCTATACACTTGGGAATAAAAGGAAGTATCTAGTTATACTTCAGCTGGAGGTCTGATTATATCATTAATAAAAATGAATAAAATCAGTTTTTGCCTAACCTCCAATGCATGTTGTAAGATAAGCAAAAATGTATTTTGACAATAAATACACAGAGGAACAGTCCAATCTGCATTTCTTTGTATTAACACAACTTTTATCTCTACAGGGGGATCTTTGGATGTATATAGGAAAATTCCAGAACATGTCCTTGGAAGAATTGCAGTAGCAGTAAGTATATGATTTCAGTATTAGGAAATTTGGCTGATTAAATCCTTCTAGTTATGCCTACTCTTATATCCTTAGGATGTTTCTTTCCTTTTTTTCTTCTTCTTTTAATCCTTCTTACCTTTCTTTTGCTTTTATCATTTTATCTTTTCTTCTTCGCATAGAACAACCCCTAACATAGTCACATGACATGTGTTAGGCCTGGCAGTACTGTGACCTGTTGTAGTATCATGTTTGCAGGGGCCTGGGTAGTTGAAATTGACCACTAGAATTTCCAGCTTCTTCAAAAATAAAACCAGTCTTTTGGACATTTTATAGATCTAAACATATAACTAGAAAATACTTTAAAAGCCTAAAATAGGGCCGGGGATGTAGCTCAGTGGCTCCATACCTGCCTGGCAAGCACAAGGTCCTGAGTTTGATCCCTGGTACTGCAAAAAACAAAAAACCATGTGCTATAAAAAACCTAAAATAAAATTAAAATAGTTTATGAAAAGTACTACTTTGCTTTTAGAGAACGCTGTGGTTTTCTTATGTTCTATAACTTATTTAATCAACCACCTCTAGGAAATTATTCCTTTTGTGATGAAAAGCAGTTTTCCAATTTTTTGTATTCATTAATAAACTGGTGAAATATATCAGCTAAACTAACATTACTGTGTAAGTTCCAGATTTTGTATGTGGGGTAATGTGGTTAGGGCTAAGCAGCATCTCAGAGAAATCATGGGGTGGTATAACAGTAAACAATTGCTAAACTAAAGGCACCCTGATAGCGTAAGTGGTTTAATACAGAACAAAGTGGTTTTATCATGTACCATTTAATTAAATGGCTTATTTTCACATTCATTATACATCAAACTGACAACTCAGATTCTTTAATCCAACATGGACACTTATTTAGTCTTAGTTCACTGTAATTCACAGCTTTCCTTTTTCTTTCTAATTATTAGTGTGAACTGCCCAGGGTGATGAGAACTTTCTTTTCTGATGCTATTCCTGCAAAGTAGCTTCTAATCTACATGTGTAGGTAGATTAATCTGAAATTTGAGCATTTAGATCACTATTTTAGATGAAAATAAAAATGTTTCATTTCTTCTTCTAATCTCAGAGGGGAATGAATGCTTTGTGGCTTTTGGCAGTTCTAGGCTCTAGAGTTTAATAACACGTCTAGTAAAGGGCAAAAAAAGACAAAGATACCAACTGAAAAAGAAAAAAGTATACAAGTTCTGTATACTCAATTATGTATTGAACTGGGCAAAAAAATAAAAATCTGTCTTCTTGAATAGAGAAGGGTGTTCTCCCTGGACTTCATAAATCTTGCTTCCCTCTTGATAGGGCATCCAGGACAAGGCCACTGGTCTTTTTAATTTCACCAGAGTGAGAAGACTGAAGTTAGTGCAGTCAGCAGAAAAAATAATCCCGCTTTCAATACAGGGCTTGCCTGTTGGGTAATTCAAAAGATGACAAAAATTATTTCAACAAAAGGCCTTAAAATAAATGCTAGTCTAAGTCATTTATTTTTTTTAAATTAGAGGTTGGTCTTTTTTGTTGTTTTTCTAAACTACATCCAGTTTCTCTAGCTTACATGGCTTATCCTGTCATAATAATGAAAGCTTCTTATGGCTGGAGTAGAAGAAATGCTTTTAATAATTTTGTTCTTCTGCCCCTTTTTGTAACCTCTGCTGGGTCCTTAAGCATATGTAATGCCTCCAAAACATGTTTATAATCTGAATAGGCTGCAAATTGGAATAATTCTTTGTTACAGCTGACAAATATCAGATTGGCACAAGGCTAATTACTCCCTGATGCTGGGAGGATTATACCAATCAAAGTGGGACGGGAAAATTGATGGGCTTAAGGTCATGGTTTATATAATATGTGTTCTCACAGCCTGACTGGGTTCCCAGTCTCCTTCTGTGTTCCAGAGACTTTCCCGTGAGTTCCCTCGGTGAGGCCAGAAAGCACATGAGTGTAGTTTTAGCTATTGCAAAGTTTAAACCAAAAGAATCTGAAGGTGGTAAATAAATGCTGAGTATTTCCTGTACCAATTACCATGACATACTTCTGTACAAATATTATGTCATTTAGTCTGTATAGCAACCCTGTAAACTGTGGGTTATTTTATGCAAAATAAAGTTTAGAAAAGTTCAATAACATGCCTGGAGATGTTGTCTAATTAATACATCCAATTTGAACACAGGGCTGTCTGACTCCAGACGCATTGTTCCTTTACTCTGTTTCTCCAAGTCTTGAGAAAGAAAAATAAAATCGAGGAAGGGATGAAAGGGAGAATTAGTTAAAAAAGAAAAAAAGCTGGGCATGGTGGTACATGTTTGTAATCCCAGCACTCTGGGAGGCTAAGGCAGGAGAATGACAAGTTTAAGCCTAGCCTAGGCAGCTTAGCAACTTAGCAAGACCCCATCTCAAAAAATAAAAAATAAAACAAAAGCTGGGGATGTTCAATCCCTAGTACCTCCAAAAAAATTTAAAAACTAAAAAAAAAATATGAATGACAGAATAATAGACTAACACAATTGCTTTAGACTATTAGTTATTATTTATTTTTAAATTTTTGCTGTTTAAAAAAATTTTTTTTTGGTGCTAGGAATCAAACCCCCAGGGCCTCACACATGCTAGGTAAGCACTGTGCTACTGAGTTACAATCCCAGCCTGCTTCAGATTCTTTTTTGGGAGAGGGTCTCACTGTGTTACCCAGGCTGGTCTTATACTCCTGGACTTAAGTGATTCTCCTGCCTGAGCCCCCTGAGTAGCTGGGGCTACAGGGATGCAGTACTATGCCCTGGCCTTTGCTTTCTTTTCATATCTTCCTATTGCGTTTAGACAGCTCTTCCTCCCCAGATGAACTTTATTTTCCAGCTTCTAATAATCTGGCATACAAAGCAGGTCAACAGACCCAAGGGTCACTCCGGAACGGACCTGCAGCCTGTAAGATGTGTTGTTTCACTTTCCTCATGTAGAAGGCATGGGAAGGGAACAGTTTTTCTTCCACGAAATCCATATAAACTTTCTGACTTCAGCCTTCCAACTTGCTCCATGATTTTTATCTACTATCCACTTGAATCTGGTCTCCTAGAAAAAGGAATGCCTTTCTGCCTTTCCTGCAGTGGAACACATTTTCTTTTCCTCTCATTTCCGAGGCAGTGACACTGCGTACTGTGTTTTGAGAGCCAGTGTTGATTGAAGCTGTCCCTGAAAGGATGTGTGCTTGACATGTCAAGGAGCGAGTGATTGACAGCAGATCTGAGGACTTTCGTGTCAAGGCTTTGTCAAGTCATTATTGTGAAGCCTGGCCCGCTGAATACCGCTAATAATCCTCTGGATTTCCATGTGCAGATTTCTGGCTCCCTTGTGCACTGTTACTTATATGCTTTAGAGGAAAATCTAGTCTGTTGTCATTTGGAAGAATAGTATTTTTTGAATCTAACAAAATTTATAATTTTAGGAAACATAAAATACAGTATTTGTTTTGTCTTTTTTTTTTTTTTGGTACCGGGAATCGAACTCGGGTCCTTGCACTTGCGAGGCAGGCGGTGGAACCACTGAGCTAAATCCTCGGCTTTTGCTTTTTTTTTTTTTTTAACCTGAATATGTTGAATTGCTTCCTCTTTGTGTGTTTTCTGATTATTCATTTTTTGTGAATTTTAATAGTATGCTGTCTGTAACAGGCAGGTTTTATAGTATGCAATTAAACATCTAAGTTGAGACTTTAACCCAACTTCTTTAGTACTGGAAAGGTCATTACTTACATGCTTAAGAAGGTGACCTCCTCTTATTACTCAAAGAGAAAATAGTTTTTGATATTGATGTCATTTTTATAAACACTTATAGAAATATTTTTGTTTCCTTCCATGTTAAAATTGCCATTAATACTTATCACTTTTAAAATATATTTTAATACTTATTTATATGTAGGTAATTATATGTGCTTATGGGGTACAGTGTGACATTTCGATACATGTATACAATGTGTAGTATTGTATTATACATTTATTAATATTACTGTTTGAAACATGTATTTTATTGTAATGTCAATTATTCCAAAATCTGGAAGAAGTAATTTGCTGTAAAAATTTATTCTGTTCTCTTAGATAAGCATGTAATAAAATTGATTGTACCATGTTGGCAAATCTTTCAGAACTACATTCTACTCCATGAAAACTATTAAAATGTTAACCTCTGCTCAGCATTAAAGGATATAGATTTTTTGGTTTTTGGTTTTTGTTTGGTACTGGGGATCAAACTCAGGACCTTGCACTTTCAAGGCAGGTGTGGTGCCACTGAGGTAAATCCCCGGCCCCTAAAGGATATAGATTTTTGTCTTCTAGATCTCTAGTTTTGTAAATTTCTCTCAGCATCTCAGTTTTTTTCTTTTTTTTACTATTGCTCTTAGTATTTTTTTTTTTTTTTGGTACTGGAGATCAATCTCGGGACCTTGCCCTTGTGCAGTGGAACCACTGAGCTAAATCCCTGGCCCCTGCTCTTAGTCTATTTTGATCAACTAAAACTTTTGTATATTTAGTCACCAGCTCTCTTTTCATCATTTTTAAAATTTATAGACCTCTCAGTTACTTCACATAATGATGGGTTTTCTTGTTCATATGGTTCTCACTCAACTTAAAATTTTTGTGATTGTGAGAACTTAAATTCTTGGAGTGAATTTTGAGTAATAGTTGTTCATTCACTGTTTTTGGTATCATCAATCAGTCTTGAAATTACAAGATCATATACAAGTGTATACAGGATCAGTGGTTGTGAATAAAATGTGTGCATCTCCTTTCATAACCATTTTTGTATAAAGATTTTGAAAATTTTTATTTTTGCAATGTTAGGGGCAAGCCCAGGGCCCCATGGATGCTAGGCAGGTACTCTACCACTAAGCTGTGCTACAAAGCTTGAGATTTTGAAAGTTTTTAATACCAACCCCTGATTAAGTTTTCCATACACTTGTAAACTATATACTTAGAGTCTTTAAAACATCTTAGGTTTTTTTCAGTTTCTATTTGGATTAATTATTCTTTAGACCATTAAAGAGATAAATCCAAATGTAATTCTCATTGATATTTCCTTGACCTGCGCTTTTGATATTGTCTGTATAACTCTTCCACATATGCAGTTTGCACCAGTCTGCGAGAGTCAACTTGGTGTAATTCATTCTTTCCAACCCCAATAAATTTTTTTTTTTTTGGTAGCGGGGATCGAACTCGGGACCTTGTGCTTGCGAGGCAGGCGGCAGAACTGCTGAGCTAAATCCCCAGCCCTCAACCCCAGTAAATTTTAAAAATTGGGGGAGGGGCTTTTTATTTTGAAATTATTTTAAGCTTCACAGAAAAGTTGTGAAAATAATACAAAAAATTCCACCAGAGGCTTCCCTAAACACATACACCTAATTCTTTCTTTTCCTCACATCAATAGAATGCATTACTCAAGGCCCAGCACCTTAGTGAGCCCTTCTGACTGCTAGTGGGAAAAGTGGTTTCTGTTCCACTCACTCCCTTACTCATGAGTTAGCTCAAAGCTCTCTTGAAGATGTAGCTCAGGTCGAGTGTATGCTTAGTATGTTCAAGAACCTGGGTTTATAAACCCCAGAACCACAAAAAGGTAAAAAGCTTCTCCTTAGTTATAAATAGTGTTTGTCTTTTTTTCCTGCCCCTCTCCTCTCCTGCCCATAGCGCCATAAGAGTTTAGTGTGTGACCTTCCTGGTCCTTGTGAACATACACACACTTATTTCTTTTATTTGGCATGCCTCATCTTCTGACATTCTAAGCTCCCAAGGAAGGAACATGTAGCTTTTACATTCAGTGTCACCATGAAAGAGCACAAAAATGGAAAGTATTCTGTAAATGCTTCTTAGTTGAGAGTTTTAAAGGAAAATTTGTGGTTGATATGTTTAATTGTAGAAAGTTCCCTATAAAAACCATAATTGTACTATTTTTTTCTTTCACGCATTTAGGTTGTTAAAGGCCTTACCTATTTGTGGAGTTTAAAGATTTTACACAGAGGTATGTGCTGGGGTGTGGGCTCTGACTTAATTTGGGGTGGGCCTGAGGCTCTCAGGATACCTTGAATTTTAGAGTAAATAAATGATAGGACATTTAAACCAGCTGTTATATTTGATAGTCAAAAGGATGAGGGCCGGGGATTTAGCTCAGTGGTTCTGCTGCCTGCCTCGCAAGTGGAAGGACCTGAGTTCAATCCCCGGTACCAAAAAAAAAGGATGGTTGCTTGTATAAATGTGAATGTGCTTATTTTCTTTCTTCATATTTCCTGCATATTTCCTGATCATAAACTTGGTATTGTATTTTTGTGAATTTCACTTACCCAACCTATAAAAAGATATTTCGTAGTATTTGAAAAAGATAGGACCAATTTGTCTTACTTAACTCTAAGTCATGGTACACAGCCTTCACTTTCTGTACAGTTGCACTCTTCCTTTTATTAATAGGTCAGACATCATCACACATTGTTTCTTAAGGGATTGTTTCTCAGACCTAGAAAGTGAAACTTTAAGTAAGGAATTGGTGAAAGCCTGAGAAACAATCTGCCGGAACATGTGTGAGAATAATCAGAATAACTGTTGAATGCTGCAAAAGTAACCTCCTTTTGTTTTTTTTAATGTTCCCAAGATGTTTGAATTCATTTAGAAGCAAATTATTAAGTGAGGAAGACACTGTTAGAAAGCAGCATCGGGGCCTAATGCTACCACAGTACTGTTTCACATCTGCTCATCCTAGCTTTCTGTACATTTGGGGGATGCAGCAGCATACAATTAAATGTGATTAAAGAAAATTTTGTTGTTTTTTTTTAAAAAGGTATAAACTATAAGAGGAAGAAATTAACTGATGTCTGCAACTGTAGTATTGTATCTGTCACCAAGGATTGTTTTCATTTGTGGTTGGTTTTAATAGTCTAGTTTTTCCAATTTTCTTCTCAAATCCTCCTTCCTATTTTAAAGAGAGTATCTAGGGGTTTTGTTTTGTTTTGTTTTTTAGAGGGTATCTAGGTTTTGACTATAAAATCAGATATTGTCATTTAGTTTTTGAAGGTGTTTATGTTGATTCAATGAAGTCATAAACCAATTTTTTTCTTTAAAGCCTCTCTACTCTAGAGAGGTTGGTTGGTGAGAAATGAAGGTGTGGGGAGAGTCAGCTGAGTTGTCCTAGGATTACTTTCCCCGGGTATAAATAAGTGTGTAAACACGTCTGATAACATCTGGTGCATCAAAGATTAAGAGGGTGCAATGTAACATGATGTGACTTACCGTGCTTCTTTTTATTCCCTGTACTTCTGCTTCTCCACACCCACCAACCCATAAAGTTGTTGTAGCTATTTTAATAGGAAGTCAGTGATCAGTTCTCATCATTTCATTGATTTTTATGGGTATCTGCTGCACAGTCCATTTGACAAAAGAATTAAAGGAAGGTGTCAGTGCTCAGTAGTGAAGCCTTCATTCCCAGGACCGTGCCATGAGGATGGGAGTCATGTTACGAGAATGAGTCTTAGGATGGCTCTGTGTTTTAGGTATACAGGATAATTCTCGCTTTAAATGAATTGGCTCTACTCATAACTGTCTATGAGGAAACTTAATAGAACTGAGAACTCTAGTGGATAGGAAACTATGTCTTAATTATTCTGAAATTGTCTTGACTTGCCTCTTTTAAAGTTAGAAACCACGTGACAAGTTAGTATGCCTCTAGTATCCTTGTATCTGAATTAATTTGATTTTAGTTTCACTGTGTTTGGGAGAAATAACTGAATTTTTCATCTGAAATGGGATAATACACGTTTCAAATAGATTTGTCTGGATCTGAAAATAAGTCTAGGGTCAGATTCCCAGGACCATTGCTGTACTCTCTATGTAGGCAGGGATGGTTGACCAGAGACTCCCAGACGCCAGTGAGTCCTTCTTCCTGGCACTGGTTGCAGCTGGCCTAGGAAAGGCCTCTTTGATCTGTGACACTTGAAGGCTGCAGTGTCTTGGCTGATCGAGGCCATGGAGCTTTTAAAGGGGAGCCTGGGCCTCTACTTCTGTTTTCAGTCTTTGCTGGCCCACCCAGTTCCCACTGAGTACCCCCTGCATACCACCAGGTGTGGGAAGGTGTCTGTGGGGCTGGGTGAGGGCAGGCATGGAGATTTCAGTCTCAAGCACCAAGGAGTGAATGTGTGTCTGCACCTGTCTAGGTCAGAGAGTGATGGATCTCAGGACAGAGTCCTTCCCCATATCACAGGTACTCAGCCATAGGATAAGTATGCTGTGCTAATACAACTCATGAAATACATTTCCATGATTAGCTTTTGAGTTTCCTAGCTACTCATGGAAACTTACTTTCCGGATTTAAATGTGTATGTTTTTATTGAAGAAACATGTATGTTTTTATTTTATGGAAGAAGACTAGTGTCCCTGGAGACTTTTGTAAAGCGTTGTAATGAGAAATTTACCCTAGATTGAATAGTTGTTAATATTTTAGAGGGGGTTTTGTCCATATTTAATAACTTGGATTCCATAAAAATAAGATTAAAGATCCCTCTTTATTTACCAAAAAGCTATTTAATTTTCTCCTTGATTAAAAAATTGTAGCTTTTTAGAGGAGTTCAATCAGGCAATTAAAGATCAGAGCTTTTAAGTTCAGCTAAGGCAATTAAATAGGTAATATACTTGTTTATACACTTTTGCTATGTAAGCTTACTGCTGTACTTTCTTAAAAGCACATATACTCATTTTTGCTTCTTCTGATTGATGACGGGAATTCTAGCTGAATATGTGTCACATTGTCAAATCAAAGCCTGCTACCAGCTCTGTGAGAAGACAGACAGTGAAAAGAAGATGGTGAAAGAAAATCCTGAGTGATCTAAGCTTCTTCCTCCTTTGTCTTGATCTAAGTACCTGTGTTCTGTGATCATTTTCTAATGCTGCCCCCTGACCCCCAAAAAGATAGGGTGGGAAGGAAAAGACATAGCTTTATACTTACTACAACTTTAAAATTTAAAAAAAAAGAAATAGAGATAAGTTCAGTTACCCAGTATGAAAAGAGAACAAAATATTTTTCATTCTAAATGGCCTCCTTAGAATATAGAGGCCCTGTATGTTTCACTGTATAAAATATATGTATAGATAGTATATTGTAGAATTTATAAAACCCAGTTAATAACATCCAAACAAAACGTTGGGAATCTGAACTCTTTCCTGTAGCATATCCTCTGAGGGCTGTCAGGGTGTGGAGCAGTAGGCAGGGACAAACCACCCATTCCTCAAGGCTTGTTAGTCTGCTCACTTGGTTTCAGTGTAATGCCTTATGTCAGCTGGAAATGGTTGTAAATTGCTATTCATAATACATCATCAAATAGTATATTCAGTCAGCTGTTAGTATTGTTTATTTTGCCCTTTTCAATATTTGGTTGAGGTGATATTTGTGAGAATACTTTATAAACTTTCCAATGTTAATAGCATAGGTATGTTTTTACTCTATGAATTAATTACTTCATCCTGTTAATAACACTCCACACCCAAATCCTGCCAGAGAGTTTATTATACTTTATATTTGTGGGTCAAAAATCATGTGAATCTTTAAGATAAGATGACATCATGACATAGTTACTAAAAATGTTTGAAACATTAAGCATTGTGGGAAAGCTGTGTTTATTGGAAGGCACGTGTGAGAGGCCTAGAAGCAAAACGTGTGCTGACTGCAGGTAAAAACAAAGAAAATGAACAGTGAGAAAGTCTGTTAGGCCAGATCTGACATTATAGCAAACACTGCGGCTTCACTTCAAAACATACATCGCCACTAATGAGGTGAGAGCCCTGCATATTAATAAACCTGCAGCTCCAGTCCTAGCCATCATTAGCCACATCAAACATAAATACAAGATTAACACCTATGCCATTCCTCTGAAAGATGTGAGAATACCCTGGCAGTAACTGCTCTCTCTTTCCCTGAGGATAGAAAATAGAAATAGAAGGGTAATGAGAGTAGAACTTAGATTAAGAAAATAAAATCAGCAGTCAGTCTGGGGCCATTTTACACAGATGCAGAAGTTTATAGAAAGAGGGAAATCCTAGATAGTTGGTGCCCAGAACAATTTTATATATATATATGAATGAGACTGGTTAGTTTCATTCAATTTCTCCATAGAAAAAATTTAAAAGGTATTTTAATTGAAATTTTTAGAGCCACGTGCTGCCTAAATAGATCTCTGTTTAGAGAAACTAAGTCTTGTAGTTTTAGTAAACATGTTACAAATTTTATTTTCTACCCCTGACTTTATCTTACCTGACCCCACACAGAACTCCCACCCAGTGCTGCCTTAGAGGCCAAAGCCAGTGTTGTTATTTAATACCTCTCATGTTCCAGGCACTATTCTGTGCACTCAGAAAGTACCAGTATATAAAACACAAGATTTTTGCACTTACGGAATTTCTGTCCTAGCATGGATGAGCTGAGATCAGAAATAGTAACCACAATAAGTGCACGTAGAGTGTTTAGAAGGTGCTTAGTTACATGGAGAAAAGACGTCATAGATCAGGCAAAGGATAGGCTGAAGTACTAATCACATAGGCCTCATAGAAAAGATGGCTTTGGGGTGAAGGCTTGAGGGAGGAGAGGAGTTAGGCCCTGAGAAGGTGGAGCTGGAGTAAGTGGTGGGCGTGTAGCTTGAGTGTCGGGGACTAGCAGAGACCAATGTGTGCAGCTGGGTACAGGGAGACCAAGGTGGTCTCCGCTGTGAGGAAGGTGTTTCAGTAATCAGGTGATTTGCAGAGGCGTAGAGCAGGAAAATAGCTGTGAAGGTTGGGAGAAGTGGCCAGATTGTGGATTTTTTTTTTTTTTTGGTACTGGGGATCGAACTTGGGTCCTTGTGCTTGTGTAGCAGGCAGCAAAACCACTGAGCTAAATCCCCGGCCCTGGATATTCTTAAAATGTAGTCAGTAGCGTTTCCTGGTGGATTATCTATGGATAGTTTTAAGAGTGAAAAGTGTTGAAGTTGCTTAAAATTTCAACAGTTC